GCAGTCAGTGGAATGTGCCCATTCCTGATGTCACAGAGGCAATGAAGCTTCCTAAGAAACGTGAGACAAAGAGCTGTGTTAAAAGAGAAAGAGCATGAAAGCTCCATACTCTCTGTTTTGTTAGTAACCAAAGTAGACGAACAGTGTTAGCAAAGAATATTAACAGGAATCAAAATATCCTAATGTGGTCTCAATGCCTAAAAGTTCTATTCCAGCCATGTTCTTAAGCAAATACTAACATAAACACATGTGATATTTTGATTTATAAAAAGAAATGGATATCTGATCTTCATTCCATTTCTGGCAGCTAAAACTCTTGGAATTTCTTATGGCAAGAGCCTTAAAGTTATCTTATATTATGTTAATGAGGTGATTTTCAGAAAGCACCTAAGGACAGTGGCTGGTTGACAGAGGAGCCAACCCTGTGATTAGAGGGTTGCAGCTTTTAGGCCCATCCCCCTGATCTCCAGAGAGGGGATGCGGCTGTTGAGTCTATTGCCAATGGACAATGACTTAATCTGTCATATCTAAACAATGAAGTCCCTATAAAAACCCTTAAGGCTGGGGTTCAGAGAGTCTCTGGGTTGGTGAACAGGTGGAGATTCAGGAAGAGTGGTGTGTGCTGAGGATGAGCTTGAAAGCTCTCCTTTCTTCATATCTTGCCCTACCCATCTCTTCTACCTGGCTGTTCCTGAATTGTATGATTTTATAATAAACTGGTGATCTAATGAGGAAACAAGCTTCCTAAGTTCTGTGGGCCACTCCAACAAATTAATACTCCCCACTGCCTCTTGAGAAATCTGTATGCAGGTCAGGAAGCAACAGTTAGAATTGGACATGGAACAACAGACTGGTTCCAAATTGGGAAAGGAGTATGTCAAAGCTGTATATTGTTATCTTGCTTATTTAACTTAAATGCAGAGTACATCATGAGAAATGCTGGGCTGGATGAAGCACAAGCTGGAATCAAGATTGCCAGGAGAAATATCAATAACCTCAGATATGCAAATGCCACCACCCTTATGGCAGAAAGCGAAGAACTAAAGAGCCTCTTGATGAAAGTGAAAGAGGAGTGTGAAAAAGTTGGCTTAAAACTCAACATTCAAAAAACTAATATCATGGCATCCAGTCCCACCACTTCATGGCAAATAGATAGGGAAACAGTGGGAACAGTGAGAGACTTTATTTTTGGGGGGGCTTTAAAATCACTGCAGATGGTGACTGCAATCATGAAATTAAAAGATGCTTGCTCTTTGGAAGGAAAGTTAGGACCAACCTAGACAGCACATTAAAAAGCAGAGACATTACTTTGCCAACAAAGGACCATCTAGTCAAGGCTATGGTTTTTCCAGTGGTCATGTATGGATGTGAGAGTTGGACTATAAAGAAAGCTGAGCGCTGAAGATTGATGCTTTTGAACTGTGGTGTTGGAGAAGACTCTTGAGAGTTCCTTGGATGCAAGGAGATGCAACCAGTCCATCCTAAAGGAAATCAGTCCTGAATATTCATTGGAAAGCCTGAAGTTGAAGCTGAAACTCCAATACTTTGGTCACCTGATGTGAAGAAGTGACTAATTGGAAAAGATCCTGATGCTGGGAAGGATTGAGGGTGGGAGGAGAAGGGGACGACCAAGGATGAAATGGTTGGATGACATCACTGACTCAATGGACATGAGTTTTTTTTTTTTTTGACTCAAGAAAAACATTTATTATTCTTTTTTTTTACATTTATTATTCTTATGCTTTGACTTGCTGTATAGGTTCTTTAGAGTTTTTTCCCCCTTTCCCCCGCTTCTGTTGTCAGTTCAGTTTAGTCACTCAGTAGCGTCTGACTCTTTGCAACCCCATGGACTGCAGCACACCAGGCCTCCCTGTCCATCACCAATTCCAGGAATTGACTCAAACTCATCAATGGACAGTTTGAGTGAACTCCGGGAGTTGGTGATGGACAGGGAAGCCTGGCGTGTTGCAGTCCATGGGGTCTTACACGACTGAGCAACTGAACTGAACTGATGGAAAAATCTCCTACCCACCCCCACCCACTCCCACCATATTAGAAACTGGGATTCAGAACATCTGTTCAGCACAGAAGCAGGACAGGATATTCTTGCCCAGACAGTAGGTAGAAAAGTGAACTGAGGGAAAAATAAGGATCAGATTAGCTGATATCTGCGTAGCTATCATACTTTTATCTTATGAATATGTCTGCATGACAAAAAAATTTTACATTTTTTCTTATTTCTTCATTAGCGCACATTAGCTCACCCTTGCCTAGTAGACTATTTGTTATAGTATGCTATGGTATATGTTGTATTTCCTTCTAGGCCTGGGTAATATTAAAAACTCATAATCCTATATTTAATAAACTGTTTGTTATTTGGTATGGATATCAGAACAGACACAGGTTGTGGGGAGAAAGTCAGTGTTGAGCAGAATCCTGGTGAGGATTCCAAGGTATTCCACTGTTTAATTGCTGGCTGTGCCAAGCATTTTCTCTTTAGTTGTTGGGTCATGAATAAGTCTTGGAGAGGAACCAAGACAGCCAAACTGTAGGGGTTGGAAGTGAGCATATAAGGGGCCGTTAGGAAATGGCTAGTTGCCAATGGGCATAGTATTTCCATTTTTAACAAGCAATAAGCTTTTATAGTGTATAATCAGGGAAAGTCTGTCATGTATCTAGTAGTTAGCTTTGCCTAAAATTCATGTGAAGTGTCATCAGGAGGGTATGCCCCAGTAGATTCATTGTTCCCAGATGCTATTAACTGAGGGCATATAACATACTTTTCCATTCATTATTCCAAACAGAGTTATTTGCTTAAACAGATTTTAAATTATGTAAACATCTTAATCAACTCTGCTTTTAAAAGGTGAACTTCAATGAAAAGGGGTTAAGGAAATTTTTACCATCTTAACATAATTTGTGGTGTGAAACACTCCCATGGACATGAATCCATGGACATGAGTTTGAATAAACTCTGGGAATTGGTGATGGACAGGGAGGCCTGGTGTGCTGCTGTCCATGGGGTAGCAAAGAGTCAGACGTGACTGAGTGACTGAATGGAACTGAACTGAACACTCCCATAGTAACAGTGGTTGTTCTCAAGGTTCGAGGGTGAAGACTGTAGTCTTTAACTCCCAGGTGATTGCTACATGCCACTTCTACCCTAGAGTCATTGATCTAGAACAGTAGAAAGAAAAAGAAAGCACAATTTATAACATTTAGCACTAATTTTTGTACTGTCAGTGTTGATTCCCGTTTCCATCAGGACTTCAAAAGAAAGCAAAAAAAAAAAAAAAAAATCTTTGACTGATCTGTCGTTCCTGATTTTTTATGGAAACCCCTCCCTGGAGTGTTCTGGAGGTCTGGAGCCCTCTTGTTAGACTTAATTATTTCAGTCATGGAGTATCTTCACCTGTAGTTCACTCAAAGTGGGCAGATAGAATTAAATGCTCCAGGAGGGGGGTCTTCATAGCTATGTCCTGGGCAGGGCAGATTATGGACATACAAAGAAATATTGGCATCATTTTTTTCTATTTTATTTTTTTTCCCTTTCACATAAATAAGATGGAATCATTTCCAGGTCCAGACATCCCCAATTTCTCAGGGAATGTTAGGTGGTTACTCTGGCTATGGCAGCTGCTTGGTCCCACCTTTCTAAATGGCTCACCTTCTCCCAGAAGCAATGGTAACATAACCAGAAATTAACCTTTTTGTTTTTTAAAAATTAGTAATTTGCATTTGCTGACAAGTACTAGCAGCACATGAAATCCTATTGGACGTGTTTGTTCTCTTCCTTTACCTTCTAGATCAGGCCAATTGTACTTTAAGGAAATTTGAGAAAAAGAGGGTGGAATTAGGTTGAAGTCAGAAACGGTGACTGATATATCAACTGGAAAACAATGAGATAAATGTGATGTCACTTGTCACACTGTTTTGTAATTATAAAGAAATTAGATGTGGGTACACACACACACCACAAAATTAGACAGCCCAGACTGGGAGATAAAGGGTGAAGAAATTCTCCAAGCCCAGAAACAGATTTCTATTGTGTATTTTAATCCTGATCAAAGCTGAGGAAAATAATATTTGTGGGGAGTATGAAACATTCAGTTTCAGATATGTTGAGTTTGATATGATCATGGAACATGCAGACAGAGAATACAGCTTTAGTTATAAAGCTATATAAATTTTATATATATATAAAGCTATATAAAGCTATTAAAATTCCTGGATGGTAGTCACACAGAATATCTGACCCCTTCTATATAACAACAAGGTTTTGAAAGTTAAATACATGTGAATGTAAATACTTTACAAACTATAAAGCATTATGTACCTCCATTATTTTTATTACTATTTTGAGAACTTCAGCTTATAGATATCCTTTCTGTTTCCTATAGGCAGATGGAATAATATTTTTTTCCTCTAGAGAAGCCCATGATTTTCTGTTCCTTTTACCCCAGCTACTTCCCCTGACCTCTGCACAGATGCTGAGGTCTGAGGTTTCTGTAAGCCTCGCTCCGTTGCTCATCTCACTGTGCACCACTGTAAGCACAGAAATACATTGCAGCATCCTCCAGCTGGGAGTCTGAGATCCTGAGACTGAAGGCTTTGGCTTCTTTCTGGAAGTTCACAGAGTAGTGATCGTTGGTTGCATTCTGTCGTTCATAAGCATATTGGTGAATAATGAAAACCATCTCCCCACTGGGAGGCTGTTTGTACCAGAACAAATAATAATCACTGTCACTGGTGCTATATGTGCAGTCCAGGGTCACTGTGCCCGTCTCCTGTACAGACTCTTCTGGCTGAGGCTGAGTGACCGTCTGGGCCACACTGGGTCCTGTGGGAAGGAGGAGAGAAAGGTCCGCACTGGGTGTCACAGGAGAGAAAGCAGGCAGAAGTCCGAGCTGGTCCCCATTGCCACCCACCTTTCTTCTGCTTGACCCAAACTTCAAGTAAAATGCATCAGCTTTCTTGCCCTCAGTAGCTTGGACCCATGAGGAAGTAACAAGATACTTGTGTTANCATGAGTTTGAGTAAACTCCGGGAGTTGGTGATGGACAGGGAGGCCAGGCGTGCTGCGATTCATGGGGTTGCAAAGAGTCGGACATGACTGAGCAACTGAACTGAACTGAACTGAGGAATGAGGTTTAAATAATGAGGATGAGCAGATTCAGGGACAGGGATAATGATATTAATAAAAATTGAGACTTGGTAGGTAAGGATATGATCATACATCTACAGAGACTGAATTTTCATAAGTATGCTCTATTTCACTATCTTTTGAAAAAATAAGGTGTCAGCTTCTATTTTTCCAGTTATGTAATCACTCAAGTACCCACCTGCTCTTGTTAGAAATCAGCCCAGTAAAGTTCACCTTGCACTTTCTTCTGTTCTTTCTTTGTCAAATTTTTAAAGTGCCTCTGTTTTAATTTTGTCTCTTCACAACCCCAAAAAAGGAGCCTAAAGCAAGAATTTAGGTGAAGGCAGTTTATTTAGGAAGTGATCTTAAGAAGCAGAAATGAGAAAGTAGATAGCGCAGTACTGGGGCTTGTTTCTGCCAGGATCTCCAAGAAACATAGCAGATGCATCTCAGGATTATCGTTGGGAGGCAAGAATCTGTGTATGCATCCATCCCTTTTCCTTCTGGTTGGTGCTTGCTGGCAGGGGTGGTAATTTCTCTTTAGTTTCAGGCTGTGCTTGCCCATGGACTGAATGAGCTCCCAAGGAATCAGAGAAAGCCCTGGGGTATGAAGTAAAACTAATGCACAGTGGAAGCTTAATGTTGCAAGTTATCAGCTTGAGATGAGTCCCAGTGCCCACAGAATTGTCTGCCACAGCTATTGCTAACATCAGACCTAGGTGTTTGGATGTGACAATAAAGCACATGAGATATTTGTGATGGAGCTCGCTCTGACAATACACAGATGTCTGCTTGTCTCATGTTATTTACACTGTGTCTCTGAGTATTCAAGGTTGTGGCAGGCTGCAATCCATCTGAAACACTTGATACACAAGGTGGTATGACCTGAGCTTCAGGCCCCACTCCTTTACGTGGTACTCATCTTCTCCCTCCTGTGCGATGCTCTCCAAACTTCTGTATATAAGACAGAACTTTAGCAAACTCAAATTCTTACCAGGTGTGGTGGCCCAGACCCTCTTGGGTGAGGGGTCTCTGTTCTTAGCTTGTTCTTTTTAGACCTTGTTGCCATGGTGACCATTTGATGTTTTTACTGGGCCTGGAAATACCCCAGGTGAAACACTTGCATTCCAGACATATTCTTTTTTGTTTTCATTATGCTGCAACAACCTGGTACTCCATGATAATCAGGATCAATAACCCCTCCATCTAGTAACTCCTGTCTTTGCCTGCTGGACCATCAGCTCAAGGAGTTCAAAATGATCCAGGTGGAAGTCAGAGCTGCAGGTTCAGTGAAACCCTTGTGAGTCCATTGATGGAAGCATTCTTCCCCGGGGAACCAGGACCTCTAATCTAGCAAAGCCTGGATCTATGGGAAAGGGGAACACACATTCTGAAGGTGGGTTTCAGGGAGTGATAGGAAAAGAGTCTATTCTGCTTCCATTTCTTGGTTTCTAAACTTGTGTATTTCACCTAGGGTGTAACAGATTGGACATTGTTTAATGAGTGTTATCTCTTCCTGGAATAGCATTCGAACCACGAATGGTCTTGCTCCTGAGTTGTCTTCTTAGCTGAGCCTTTAAAAGGCCATTCCTTCTGCTAGGTCACTTTATCTAGGTACATCAACCTAGGTTATCTCTTAAGTCTGTGGTAAGACCAGTGGGGTCCCTGCCTGGTTATGCCCACACTGTCACACCGTTGTGAACTAAAATAAGTATCTTTTTCTGAGGAGCTTCAGTTTTGGTCAAGGAGGACAGTTAAAAGGACAAACACCTATGAACAACTTGGAAAAGATTTAAATTCTTGGAGGTAAGAGTTCCCAGGAAAATTATAAAGATTTGCTAGTCAGAAGAAATGCTTCAGAAATCTAACTGATCATGTATACCATATGAAGCAATGAGGGTTACAGATGATATCATGAATGAAGACACCTCGTAAAACTGGAAACTACTATGCATGCTATTATATTTACTTAAGGACTACAAGACAGAGATTCATCTCTCTGTGTTTCTTATATTTAGATAGAAATAGCTATTATTTCAAGGTGAAGTCCATGATGTTCTGTTCCTCTTACCCCAACTACTTCCCCTGACCTCTGCACAGATGCTGAGGTCTGAGGTTTCTGTAAGCCTCGCTCCGTTGCTCATCTCACTGTGCACCACTGTAAGCACAGAAATACATTGCAGCATCCTCCAGCTGGGAGTCTGAGATCCTGAGACTGAAGGCTTTGGCTTCTTTCTGGAAGTTCACAGAGTAGCGATCGTTGGTTGCATTCTGTCGTTCATAAGCATATTGGCGAATAATGAAAACCATCTCCCCACTGGGAGGCTGTTTGTACCAGAACAAATAATAATCACTGTCACTGGTGCTATATGTGCAGTCCAGGGTCACTGTGCCTCCCTCCTGTACAGACTCTTCTGGTTGAGGCTGAGTGACCGTCTGGGCCACACTGGGTCCTGTGGGAAGGAGGAGAGAAAGGCCGCACTGGTTGTCACAGGAGAGAGAAAGCAGGCAGATACCCAAGCTGATTTCCAACCCCACCCACTTTTCTTCTTGATCCAAACCTCAGCAGAACATATCAGCTTTCACCTGGGCTCTGTGAGGCAATGCAGTTCTGGTGCTATTAATCTTCTGTTTCACAGCCCCATTAGGTAACATTATAAATAAAGACCTAAGCCTTCCTTACCCAGACACATGGAGACCAGGACTGCACACAGCAAGCTAACAAGTGTCATGCTCACAGCTCTACCCCGCAGGCCGAGAAGCCTCCTGCTCTGATCTGGGTTCCCCTCTGTGATCAGTGACACGTGAGCTTCAGGGCAGGAAATGGTGTGACAGCTGACAGGTGACTATGCCTCACTGATGAAAGTTTTCCCAATACTTTTTGGTCCCCCTTCAGGAACTAGGTTAAGGGTTATAATTTCAAATGAAAGCAAAAACTGTTTTCTGAGTTTTTAAAAATTCTAGGATGAAAGTTAAGAGCAGAGGGAGCTGGCAAATCTATTTTGCCAAGTCCTCATGCTAGGGAGAAGAATGGAGCCCTGGAATGGTAGGTAGAGGTGGCCGGGTTTATATGCAACAATGGCAAATTCTGTAATTTTTCTTTGTGTTAAGAAAAATGACAAGCCAAGTGTGATAACTATAAACAATTAATTATGGATGATAAGAATACACCTGTTATATTAATGTATTCATTTTTTAAATAGTTTTAGAGCTGCTCAAAATAATGAAAACAAAGATATATATGACTGAAAAAAGCACAGACTAAACACAGAGTAAATGGAAGCAGAATGTGTATTGTCTAATTGTGCTTATATTTTTCATGGACACTTAAAAAATAAGACCTCATTTGTGCTATATTTAGAAGTTCTGAAATAACTATTGCAGGAATTCTCATCAGCACCGAATTGCCTCAAACGACTCATATTAACATGTATCATTTTATACAAGTTAAACTGTTAAGTCATGTGTACTTGTAATATCAGACCTTGCATTCAATACACAACGCCATAGACTCTTTCCAAACCTGTAATTTTCAATGAACAATTAAAAAGATTGTCATTAAGAAAAAAAAGAGTTGTTCCCATTGCTCTCATTCCATTTTGAAAAAAATACTGGAACAAGGGAAAAAAATAACCATGAGTCTCTAGAAGTTTCTGTTTCCAGAAGGAGTGACATGGATACTCATGTAATTCTAGAGTTGGAGTCCTCAAGTCAAGAGAAAGAATGGGGCTCTGCTATATACTAGGTACTCTCTGTGAGCACGGGTTCTCTTGTAACAGAAGAGGGTGGCTAAGTCTTCTCACTGAGAGAGATGAACTGGAAATTGTAAGAGTTGGGACCAGCTCTGAATGAGGCTGCTAAAATCTCCTGTGCCCCTAAAGCCAGTTTGATAGCAATGGAAGAAAGGACAACAAGAATTTCCTCTAAATCATTGCTGTCCTTGCCACGTGATTTGAATTCCTGTATCTTAGTTTTGGATTCTCCAAAAGTCAGCTTGGATTTATGGGTACACATGGGTACACATGGGTAACACATGGATTTATGGGTAAGTAGTTTATTTGCAGGTGATTCTAGGAAACATTGAGGAAGTGAACAGGGGAAGGGAAGGAGGCCAGTACAGAGGGTTGTCATCAAGTCAGTTACTACTCTGGGCAATTGGAGCTTAATCCAGCTGGGTAACTCTGGGAGATGGTATAGCATTGCCCTTCAGAGTTACCCCAAATGAAGCATAGAGGAGGTGGAGTAGTTCATAAACTCATTATCCACTGCAGATTGAGGGCTGCTTTGGGGACACGAATTCTCTGGCACATCTGATCGGTCCTGCGCACTGGCCACATGTGTTCACATGGTCAGAAAATAGTCCTCAGAGTTGCTGGGGTTTTCCGTGTGCAGAGGTGACTGCCAAGGGGTGTGAGCAGTGCATCAAGGGCACCATGCAGCCCATCCTTACACTGCTGAGATCCTCTTGTGTCTATGCTTAATCCACTCAGAACACTAGTTCTTAAAAAATAACTCAACAGGAGTATTAGTGGGACAAGTTACAACTGCCATACATGATGAAAATTGAAAGTGAAAGTGAAGTCACTCAGTCATGTCTGACTCTTTGTGACCCATGGACTGTGGTCAGCCAGGCTCCCCCATCCATGGGATTTTCCAGGCAAGAATACTGGAGTGGGTTGCCATTTCCTTCTCCAGGAGATCTTCCTGACCCAGGGATTGAACCTGGGTCTCCCACATTACAGGCAGACTCTACCATCTGAGCCACCAGGGAATCCTACTATAGATGATGCCACAACCATAATTTGTATTTATTATCTTCCATCTCCCTCCTATACCACTCATTCTGGATTCTCCCCACCTAGGACTAATACTTCTGTATCTAGATTTCTGTCCCAGGGAGGAGGTAATCTAGACCTTCATCCCTGAGGGGACTGAACTCCTGGTTATTCTCCCTTTATCAGGCCATTGTTGCTGAAGTTGCCTATTTACAGTAACTATGGTCATGAAAAAGCTAAAAGTCATCCTGGTGAATCCCCTGAGTTTTTGTCCTATATTTCCAGCTCCCAGTAGGTAACCACAGCCCTAAATCCCCATGATAATCAAGATTGATTGCCCCTACCAGTGTATTAACTCCTTTCCTGTCCTTCTGGCCTTTGGATATGAGTATCTTAGATGACCAGGTGGTATATGTAACACTGCTGTTGTTGTTTAGTCACTAAGTTTTGTCCGACTCTTTGTGACCCCATGGATTGTAGCCCACCAGGCTCCTCTGTCCATAGGACTTCCCAGGCAAGAATACTGGAGTGGGTTGCCATTTCCTCCTCCAGGGGATCTTCCTGACCTAGGGATTGAACCTGCATCTCCTGCATTGGCAGGCGGGTTCTTTATCACTGAACCACCAGGGAACCCATATATAACATTAGGCATGGTGAAAGCCTCTCTGTTCCCTCCAAAAAAGTATCCTCTCCTTACCATTCAAAGGGAAATAGGACCTCTAGTCCAGATGAAACTAGAGTTATGAGAACAGGAAACACACAATGAACAAGTGAATTTTCATATTCTCCCAATACCAGAATTGGGAGTTGATGGGGAGATAACCCAACTTTCACTACTTGGTTCCCAGGTCCACGTATTTTATCAAACAGGAACACAACACCATCTCAAAGAATAGTCCTCCAACCTCTCAGAGCACTACCTCTAAGCTGTTGCTTTAGTTAAGTGGTCATTCCAATGTTCTATGAGGCTAGTGGTTTGCAGATAATGCTGTACGCAGTAAATCAGTATGTCCAGTGTCACATGTCCATTGTCCCAACTTTTTGCTGTAAATTGGGTCTGTTGATGCAAAGCGATGTGAAATTCCTTGATAATCATGATCACCTCTGAACACTTGGTTCATGCTGCTATGCTCAGCCCTGTCAAAGGGAAGCCAAACTCGTACCCTGAACGTGTCGTTATCCCAGTAGGAAAAGATTTCTGCCACCTCCAGGGTGGAAGTGGTTTCATGTAATCGAGTTGCCAACTAGAGGCTGATTGGTTTTCTGGAGGGGTGATTCCACATTGAAGGCCCTTTGTTGCATCTATGGCTGGTGGGTTGAACATTTGGCAGAACCAAACTCGTACCCTGAACGTGTCGTTATCCCAGTAGGAAAAGATTTCTGCCACCTCCAGGGTGGAAGTGGTTTCATGTAATCGACTTGCCAACTAGAGGCTGATTGGTTTTCTGGAGGGGTGATTCCACATTGAAGGCCCTTTGTTGCATCTATGGCTGGTGGGTTGAACATTTGGCAGATGTAGTTAGGTCCGACTTGGAGAGAGAAAACTCGTGCTTCTGGGCTCATGCTGCTGTTGTTCAGTCACTGAGTTGTGTCTGACTCTTTGCAACCCCATGAACTGCAGCATGGCAGGCTTCCCTGCCCTTCATTGTCTCCCGGAGTTTGCTCAAATTCATGACCTTTGAGTCACAGATGCCGTCCAACCATCTCATCTGCTGCCCCAATCTCATCCTTCTGGGCTCACGGAGAACGTCTATTCTGTCAGCTTGGTTCATCTGTGCACAGGTCTCTTGTTCAAGCACTGAAGTACACAAGATGAGCATCCATATTGTCACATGGATGCTCGGTGCTTCCTTGTGGTGGATGTTGTCTGGGGGGCATGAATGTGAGATACAGTGATCCCAACCCCATGTGCCTACACTCACTGCTCCTTCAGCTCATGATCTCCTCGAAATGTGACTCTTCCTCCTCCACCTGACTCTAGAAAGGAATGAGAAACTATGTGCTGTTAGAGGTCACCCCTAAAAAAGTCACACTTTGACTCTTCTCAAGTCAGCTGGTTGAAATTTTATCCTCTTTTAAGGAGGAACCAGATTTGCCATCCCACTGTGTTCTCCTTTCACTCTGCCCTTTGAAAACTTTAAACCATGTCCCCTCAGGTTTTGGTACTCAATCTTCTTAGCCACTCTTTTTGGAATGGCAGAGCATGTTTTCTTTCACTGCAGGATTTGATAGTCACTGCTTTCAAGATTTTGTATTCTTGAGGTATTTGTGAAAGTCTACAAAGGAGTTCAAAGGCAAGATATTTTCTCTGTTTCCTCTGTTCCCTCTGTTCTTTAGTGCTCTCCTCTTTCTGATGTTAAGCCTCTGGTTTTTGAACAGAGTAAGGACTTCACACAGAGAAACAAAACTATTAATAGATTAGATGGTGTTTGAAAACACTACCCCTCTGCATATGGTCTTCAAATCTTTGACACTGTTATACAAAGCTCTTCATGTTTCGCTTTGCTCAGAGCACAGAGTCAGTGCCTGGGAGGCTTTCAAGCAGGAGGTGCAGGCTTAGCAGGGTTTAGGTGCAGGGTGCAGGTGTCTGAGCTGCACTGTTCACCTGTTGCACACAAGAAACTGGTTGCATCATGGAGCTGGGAATCCTCCACATGCAGAGAAAATTGCTGGTCATTTTTGTTAAGCTTGACTGTGAATCTTCCCCTGATTTTCTCTTCCTCATTTTAAAACAACTGCACTAGGAAGTGGATGCCTTCCCTGGGATCCTGCCTAAATCACTGGAAGAAATCATCAGCTCCATCTTTGTAATTGCAGTTCAGTGTGAAGTTTTCACCTTCCTTGATTTTCTGTTCCACCAGTGGTTGTCCATTTGACCCTGTTCAGGAGGGGTGAGAAAATGTTCATACATAAAACACATTTTTTTTGTAAATAAAGAACTTTCCCTATTTCTTTTG